AGAGAGGAGAGGAAGAGGAAGAGAGAGGAGAGGGGTGTTATTCAAGAAAAGATTTTTTTTTAGTGCTTGCTAGTGGAGTTAATGGCTTTTTTTAAGAAAAAAGAAATATTCTTATTTTTTGCTCTAGCAAGAGAAGAAGCTCTTGGATAGAGCAAGAAATAATTGTCATTTGGACTACTGCAATAGAGAGGTTAATAATGAATTCTAAATACAGCAAAATGTTAGATCAAGCATCAATTTCTGCACGCTTTTTTCCCCTTGTTATATTAAAATTGTAAGCATTCATATTGGGCCTTTCGTTTAGATTAGTCGATCCACTTAATAGGTTATCCTCAAGTTGTTTGCAAGTCTTGTGTAATATTTTTGTGGTAGTGTTAGATTGGAAACAATGAATCCCTCAACCATTGTGTGAAGTAGATGACACGCCTTTAAGCACAAACCGTCCAAAAATTCCCTTCAAGTCCACTTGGAAAGTATCAGACATCAATCCTATCCAAGAAGGATCAAGTATCACTTAGTCAATAAATTTAATCATTTGCTAGGAGAGAAAGTTCAGTGTCCTGGCTAGGATATTAGATGGTTATAGTGAAGAGAGAAGAGGCATTAAATTCCTTACAAACTGTGTTACTTGTCAAGGTATATGATTCAATTGAATATTTGAAAGCGTGCAATATCTTGTATAGGAAGGTTGATATGGTAAAATAAGCAGTTCATTGTAGAAAAGAGAATAACTTGCATTTGCACTTTAAAACGTCAGTGTTACGTTCTTGTTTTATAATGAGTTACGTACTATGTTTTAGTTCTTATGAAAACTTTTGCATCAGATAAACTTCCTGGTGACTGGTTGTTGGGTGGACGCTGGAACAATGATATTTGGGGTGGAGAATTACCCGATGCTTCCTGGATAGATGATATTACACGCGACAACCCGGTATGTACATTGCTGTTATCAAATGACTAGTTATTATGAATTATTTAGATGATAGTGTTTGGGGAGCAATTTCTAGGTTTGGTTCGTACGGATGGATGGTCATATGGGTTTAGCCAACTCTCTTGCCCTAAAGCTTGCTGGAATTACCAACTCAAGTTGGGACCCTGTTGGTGGGACAATCTTGAAAACAAGTAACGGAGGTATATTTGCTGAGTACTTAAATTATTTGGGCTGTCTGACTAAAAATGGTCTATTATTTTTGCTTCTCTTCAACAGGATTTTTCACCTAGAAAACAAGAAGTTAATGATTTTTGAGGAACGAAAATTATTTCCGACTTAGTGGAAAAGAGTTTCCTATTTCTAATTGTGATACGTAATCAGAATGATTTGTTAAAATTGGAGGTTATTAGTTTGTTTTTTAGTTTACATGCTCAATCCATTTAGACTAATTACTAATTACACTTCTCCATTTCCCCATAAAAGTGCACAAAATTACTTAAATCTCACATTTATATATTGATCAATTAAATTTGAGAGAATATGATACTTTTTTATTTGAAAAAAAATATTTTGTTGGCACTTCAAAGCTTATGTAGGAAGTAGAGGCAGAGCTAAGGTGAGGGCACTGGGAGCCCATGCTCCCATTTGTTCGGTCTAATAACACCATTATAGAAGATTAAGGTTTTAGAAACAACATTTTGTTTCTTAATTTTTCCACTAAGGGCCTTCACAAATCGAGATTTGTTGGAACTATTAAGTTTGTTGACCCTAATACTAGTGTCGAATCGAGTCGACCGCGCAAGGAGGGTTTCAGAAGCGAAAGAGCTCGAAATCGCGCAAAAACCCACCAATGTGTGTCGACCAAAAACCCAAAATCGCCAAGATGACCTCTGTTCGCGAAACGGACAGCGTCGATGCGTCCGGAGCAACGGAAACAGCTAAGATCGACACCCATATTGGTGGGGGTCGATGGTCGGCGAAAATTTTAATTTTGGGCGCGCGAATCGAGACGACGACGTGTGCGAGCGGCGGCGCGATGACCAACTTGATGGAAGATTAAAAATTATTTTCATTTGTGCAATATAATTTAAAAAAAATTTGAAAAAAAAGGGAGAGAAAGAGCCTTTTTAAATAAAGAAGGAATTTTTTTAAAAAAAATACCTAAATACCTCACTTAAACCCCTCATCCCAACCCCACTCTCACTCTCACGCCAAACTCACGCTCCAAGCCGCCCCTCTCTGCTCACCCAAGGTAAAAAATTAGTATTTATTTTTTTTGTGAATGAAATAAGTACTCGTGACCGCTTTTCTTAGCGGGCGAGGAAAAACTTAAGTACCCGTGACGCACTGAGCGAGCGGGGAAATTCGTATGCATGAAAATATAAGTATCCGTGACTTCTTTTCTTAGCAGGCGGGGAAATTTGTTATTTGTAGCAAAATTATTTAATTAAGTACCCGTCATTGTTTTTAGGCGGGAAAAATGTCATATTTTAAACATGTGCTCAAAGACCCCGTGACCGCTTTTTTTAGTGAGCGGGGATTGGAACTGCGGCCGCGGTGTCACCCGACACCTACGGTGACTGCCTTTCTTGGTAGGCGGGAAGGCCTTACACACTCCGATGCAGCCCCCTACACGGGGACGACGCCGGAGTGCTGCCAAAAATTTGAACTGAATCTATGACTTAGAGAATTTTAAAGAAATTAAAATCCTCTTACAAGCGTATACAAGCTGGTTCGTGAAGACGCATTCAAATGAATAACTAAAATTTGAACCTAAATGTGAACTTAACTTAAGCTCAATATGGACATTAATTGAACCTGCAAACATTTGACTCAAACTTGAATGAACATAAATTCTAAAGAACTTGAACATGATCTTGTACATTTGAACTCAAACAAATTGGATCATATGGAGGGCTTCATTTGAACTCGAACTCAATCAGAACATGACATGAACTTGAGCCTAATCGAATTTGTAACAATTTAAATCAAATTTGAATATTGAAGCAAGGCTCCAACATTTTGAGCTAGAACAAATGCAAAAGAGCAATGATTCAAGATTGTGACTTGGGACAATTATAAAGAGCTTGACTTGAAAATGATATCAAAATCTTAATGGAATGTTAAGGAATTGTCATCTCAAGTTGAATGCAAAATGCTAGCCAAAGAGATCTAAATCACTCATAAACATAAGTTGAAGGACTCAAATAAACATCAAAGGAGGAGCTTTGAAGAATGTGACTTGGAGGATAATCAATGTTCCTATGGAATTATCATTCTAATGAGAATGCGGACGTTAATTAAGGAGGGCAATCCATCCATATCTCATCCAAGCAAGAAATGATTCATACACAAAATTCATTTCAAGATTTGAAATGGAATTTATTTGAGCAACAACGAGCAACTTGTAGTGATCATCTTGATTGAAAAGTTGGAGGAATTTGATATCAATATCATTATATAAATTGCAAATTATCTTTGAAAATAAAGAACTTCCAAGTATGACCCGTTTACAAGAAACCGAAAGATTACGAAAGGTAAGGCTTGATCTTAAAGCCATGATATGAGGACTTTTAGACCCTTATGTTGATGATTGCACAACAAGATCAAAAGTGTAAGATTCTAAAGAACAAGGTTCTAGATCTTTAAACCAACAACTCCGACAAGAAAGTAGAAAATTCATGGCATGCAAAAGTTCATCACATATACAACAGTTGACCTACAAGTTAGAGAGGTGATGACAAGAGCCTTGCAATGCATACAGTGGTCCCATTTACAAGCAAGTGGAGGTAGATGCATTGTAAATATAACAAATATTCTACAAATACAAAAAACTCATTATACATACAAGATGTTCTCTACAAATAGGGTGCCAAATGACGACAACAAAAGCAAATTCCTATGGGCCCTTGTAGAAGACCCCTCATATACACTTGACGTCATCTACGAGTAGAATGTCAAAAGATTGTAGCAAAAGCAAACTTCTACGAGTTGTTATAGGAAGCTTGTTGTGCATACAACATGCTATCTTGAGTGAATACCAAAGAAGCACAGTGGATGACAGCATCTACAAATACAAGGCAGGAGATTCGTTAGTGCACTACGATTCACATACAGAAAGCAACAAATAGTGCACGACAGTCTATCTGTACAAAGCAGCAAACAATTCAATCCATAAGCTGCTACAATCCGCCACCGGATCTGCAACACAAATACAAGCAGACAGAAGGCGTCTACAAGTTGCAATGCCCCGCCACCGGATCCGCACACTCGTACTAGCGGACAGAAGGCATGTACAAGCTCTCAAATGAAAAGTTATGTGCACTCAAATGACATTTACATGCACAACTACAATTATTTCAAAATACCCCCGCACAAGTGCACCGTAGTTTGTATACACATAGGTACACTAAAGGGAAAACTACGAAAACACCCGCATGGGCCCCGGCGAGCGTGTTATTGGTACACACGTGACGCCTAGGGATGCTGCGCGGGTTAACAAGTGAATTCAAGTCCGAATCCGATCATTCTATACGGATCAATAGAAGTCGATAGGGTTTGGACCATCAAATAAATACACGGTTCTGGGGACCGATGTATTTATTTTAATACATTCATATTAGGCCTTCAAGACCTATAATCAATAGAATTCACTCACAAAGGCATAAGGCCTACGAAACCCGATCCTCTGTCGACATCTAGACAGAGTTGACAAGGTTTAAACTACACATGAAAATGACCTCACCCCGATGGTGGCCGCGTTGAACAAAAATCTCAACCGGAGGGGTCCATTCCAAATAATTTCTAATGTCGTTCCAAATATCCAAATCTAAAAAAAAAAAAAAAAATCTAAAAATCCCAAATTCCAAAAAAAATCTAAAATCCCAAAAATATTTAAAATTGAAATCAATCCATCAACACACTTAAAGCAAAATCCATCCACCCCACCCTCCGCAACAGTTTGTCGGGGTGGACAAATTTAAATATAACTTCAGCTCACAAAGAGCCGAATGCCTAGTCGAAAATATCACTAGGATTCATCCTCAAATAATCTCCTGCCAATAAGGACGTGGTACGTGTCCTCTGACCGGCGGTTTGCCGCCAAATGGCACCGCAGGATAAACGGTTATGACCCGGGGCCCTCTGAACCGAGTGGTTTTGCCGCCAAATGGCACCACGAAATACCGGTTATGGCCAGAGCCAATACGTTCCTTGTTGGCATCAAATCTTTGAGATATGAATCAATAGGATATGATCGATAGGGCACAAAGCCCTCTGTTAGCTAAGGTGGATTCAAATTTGTCCCCTTAGACAAACATTCAACCCCGGTCTACAAGGTCCCCTTGGACGAAGCAACCCATGGCTGCCGACAAGGATCCTTCTGTCAGGTTGGGTCGACTACCTCCTCTGACTAAGTAGACCAGGGACCACGATGACCCGGGACGACGGAACCATGGGATCTTGATCGGGTCCATCATCCATTCCCCCACCATCCGCTTTAAGTGCAAGATGGTGAAATTTCTAATTTTAAATATCAAACCATTTCAACCCAAATTTCCAAACTTCCAAATATTTCAAAATCCATATACATTGCTGCTACTATATGCCAGATACCACGTATCTTTACGTATCTGATCAACGACTAGCCTTAATCGAAAGTTCTCTCTCGTGATCGGGAGGGGTAATTAACTATAGGGGCTTGCGCCTATAGGAAACTAGAACTCAGATCATAAAGTCCTCACAAAATGAGGGCGAAATCTCTGGGTAGTGTCTTATCTACAAACCCATCTGCCTTCCAAAATTTACCCCGGAACTTATTCCGTTAAAACTCCCTCGCTCAAATAAAAAAGAAAAAAGCGCGGCGGGGAGGCCGGGGCCGAATTTTCGGAGCCCACAAAGTTGCATGTACATTTCTTATTTATCTTCGTCTCCTCATGCAATCTTTCTCAATGTTATGCATAGAGTTCGTTGGTTGCGGCCTTAACCCATCACCAGTCCTCTCACTGTGAGTTTAGCTCCCTCCCTCCTCTTATACATCATCATTATCTTCTTCTTCCTCTTCTCTCTCTCGCTCTGTCTCTTCTCTTCTTCTACTCTCCTCATAAGGGTGACTCTAAGATCTTTGGTCACATAGATCCTTGCTCATATTCACTTGTTGCCTTTGGCTTTTCGTGCCTGTGAGGCGCCATGAATTTCTATCTCTCTCTACCCTTTATGTTGTTGCTACATCTATTATATATTGGTTGTTTTACTTCCATATAAAAGTTTGAACCTCCATGTTAATAGGTTAAATATGAATTATTATGCAAACATAGAAATTTTGACTAGATAGCTTAAAAAGGACATCATGATCTGAGGTCTGGTTTCTCCTAGGCGCAAGCTCTTATAATTAATTACCCCTCTCGATAATGAGAGAGTGCTTTCGATTGAGGCTAGTTGTTGGATATACGCTAAGTACCCAACATATAATAGTAGCAACTTTAGGGATTTTAAAAATAGATTTTTGGAGATTTTTAATTTTGAAATTTATCATCGTACATTTAAAGAGGGTGATGGGGGAATGATGACGGGTCTGATCTGGATTTATGATTCCATCATCCTGGGCTGTCATTGTCCCTTCTAACCCTCCAAGATCTAATTTTTTAAAAAATTATCTATTTTAATCTCTTAACCAATCAATCAGAGCTTTTTGAGTTTATCAACCTAAATTAATACAGTGGAAGCAACTAAAAGTCATATACATCAAAATATAAAACTATATTCATCCCTCCAAATATACAAAAGCTAAGAATTCAATTCATACATTCATTAGTGTATCTTTTAGCTATTGACTACAAAAGAATAAAACTAAAGAAACTACAAAAATAAAATAAAACTTGAATCCCATATCTGCCTTACTCCTTTGGATCTTGACCCCTTCCTAAAAAAATATGTAAAACACAAAACAAGCTAACTTAATAGGTTACTAGAAAATACAACTGAAATGAATGTACGATAATAGAAACAATATGCATAGAGTCATTTAATCTCTATCAATATGAACATATAACTGCAAAAAAACATGTAACAAGCATTGAAATAGTAAAAAGTTATATGATTAATAAATTTCATTACAATTATATATGAGCAGTAATCAATATCCAAGTGAACAGTGATTTGTAAGTTATATCAATCCTATACCAAATAGTTACAAAACAATTTATATAGCATCTTATTACATCATTACCTGTCACTATCATATATATGTCGTACAATGTCTATGCTATGTATATATATCATGCGATTGATATGTATATTAAATGTCTTTACATCAGTTTTATTAGTCTTATCAAATACTTATATCAGTTATAGCCTGCATCTTATATAAATCATGTTATATCAATTATATATATATATATATTCATGTCATATGCATATGTAAGCATTGTAAGCAAGAAAATGCATCAAGCTATTTTTGGTGTTTTTTTTTTTTGTATTCAGTCATGTAGGACAACCCTATAGAAATCAGTCTCAATAATATCATACATGTTATAAGAAATCAATAATATCACAAGTCATTTAGGTTAAGTGACAATCATATCATAAGTTGTCACTTTCTCCCCGTGGTGTATTATATTTCATTAATCTGTCCCTTTATATCACCCTTTTCATATTATTTAGGATTACATCACAAATTTCATTTTAAAAGAAAGCATGTCAGCTTACTCTCATACACAGGGTAATATATATTTAACCAACCTGAATCAATCAATTATTTCTAGCTAGCCTTTCTTATATACATATATTTCGTAGCATAGATATAATATAATCAACATCTGATATCTCCCAAAATAGATCCTAAATAGTTGCATTGAACCTAAATAGTTGCATAGATCCTAAATAGTTTACTAAATCATTTTAATGCATGTAAAAGTTGAATTGAACCAAAATTAATAAAATTGATAAGAAAATATAGTGTGCTCTTTTTCACATGCATGTATGTACAATAGCTATATATTAATAAGTATGCATGTTATATATGCATATCAATAAATTTTAACAATTATTTCTCAAAATTTAAAATATATCCAAATTATTTAAATTAGGATATTTCTCCCAAAATACAAACATATCTGATAAAATTTAATATATTTCAGTCAAAATGCTCATATTGATGAAATCTATCACATACCAAAAGTTATGCGAAGAAATTTGCTGAAAATTAAGATATCTCAACTTTTGTACATTATGATTAAATTAAAATTCAGAAAATATAAAATACACAAACTTATTGAAATCAGAGGTAGGGTAATAATAATATATCTTAAGACGAACAAATTTTACAATAGGACCAACTGACAACAATCACTCTATGACCTCCAAACTCTACGTTTTCTTCTCTCTCCTCTCATTTCTTCTCTAATCTCTCTTTTCATTATATGTTAAATGAAAAAGGAAATGGGAAATTGCCATGTAGCTTATAAGAAGTGGCTAACTGATCTTTTATATGGCTACTTATCACTGATCACTGATTGAATTATATTATTTTCGATAATTTCTATTGCTCATATTAACTGCTACACATTTACATGTTTAGATTGGTATGGATTAAATAATTATGTGCATGTTATTTTTACTATTGTTCATTGATTTCAATTGTAAGTTCGGGTAATCTATTATTTTATTTTTAGTTTTTTTTTTTTTTTTTTTTTTTTGTAATCATGAGTTATAATATGATGAATTTGATTGATCTCCTAACTATTGCAAATTGAATGTTGGATGAATGAATATAGAATATTTTGATGTATATAATTTATAGTTGCTTCCACTGGACTTATTTTTTTGATAAATTATTAGAAACTCTGATAGATTAATTAAAGATGAAATAGATAATTCTTCTAAATTTAGGTCTTGAGGCGTCATATAATGTTTCAAGATCCTTAGCTTCTACCAATGGTCTGTTTCCTTGTAGCCAACTTAATTCCTCTTCCTCTCGAATTGAACTCGTACCCACCCTGTAGTCCTCGCTTGACATGCTTTCAACCGCATTGTCAAGTGCCATCAGCATTGAATTTAATTTCTCCATTAGAAAGCGTGATCAACACGAATTTCAAAGCACCATCTTCTAATATTATATTAGAAAAGTCTGGATTATTTTTGTGACTATATTAGTTCCTAACTTTAGAAAATTGATCTAAAACAGTCCCCATGTTATAATTATGATATAAAATTGATCTCAATTTAGTCTCAAAGAATTTATTTTTGATCAATTTTGTATAATTGAAGGACTAAATTGGACTAACATGATACTCTACGACTAAATTAATCATATATGAATAATCGGATGATTGTTTTTGTAACACCCCACAGTACCTTGAATAGTACTGTAGAGTGTACATGCATAAATATAACTTTACATTATTTTCATTTATTCTTCAACATAAAGACTTCATACTTGAATAAAACATCCAATTATATTGTCATTTATAGTAAACGGAAGCATCTAGTTAATCCAATTTCCATAACACATAAAGATTTATAGATCCACAAAAAAAAAAACTCAATAGAGTATAATACTAAATTGTCTACATACCTCCGATGTAGACTTACACAGGTTTAAAATTAGCATATAAAATCAAAATACTTGAAACTTAGCCTTCTTCCATTTTTTCCTTTCCCTTTCATGTAGCAACAACCAATAAGGAAATACTGGTGAGCTATAAGGCTCAATTAGTTATGCAAATTAAATAACAATTAAATTGTAATAAAATAATGAATTAGAACATTGAGCTCATTGAATCAACTTATCATTATTTGTAAAACATCATAAACATTCTGTTGGATATCATCCTTATGTCATTTGAGGTAGATACAAAATATTTAGTCTTTTAAAAGATTCGGCTATACGTTTACAAATATTTTCAATGGAGTCTACGTAAATATGACATTATCACAATTGAATTTCATAGATGTTATTTTTGTCTCTTTAAGGATCCCTTTTGCCCCACATGTATGCAGGTATCAATTTTCTTGAGATCCCTTTTGTCCCATCTTTAATACAGGATTTGAGGCTTTCTCTACAGTCCTGGGAGACTAGCCCCAAAACTTGCTACAGGAGAACTGTCTAATCCTTCTCCATTCTAGGAATTCCGAATAAAGCGATAAGATAAAGGAGTGGAGCCCACTCCAAAACTGCTCTCTCCTTATCCAATCCAAGGGAAGCATCTATTCAAACAAAATTTAATATTTTGCATAAATTTTCTGTCATTATTTAACTATTTAGTAATGAAGTATTAATTAAGCTTATTTAAATAATGGGTTGGATTTCTTTTACCTAAAATTCGAGTTGTTACAATTTTGAAATTTACCCCAATGTATGTGCACACACACATACCTCATCATAGTCGTAATTATAGAAATATATCTGCTTGTATTATCCTGGTATTGTCCTTAAAAAATAATGCTTGAATGTTTATTTTGGATCAAAATACTACCTGTTTTGATCTCATACTATTTATTTGAAGTCCAATGAATGATATTGTTTCAAATAATATGGATACAATAGTCTATAATGTAGATACAACATAGCACAATCCAATTGCTATAGTGCAACATAATGCATTCTACCAATTACAACAAAACGTAATGCAATCTAGTAGCTGTAACACAAAAGAGTGCAAGCTAAGAGTATATATCATATATTAATAGAAATGATCAACCAAAGAATTACAATATTTAAAACCAAGATAAATGACATTAGTACAAACATTTGAACACTTAACTGTGTTCGAATCATGTTTAAACTATGTTCGACTACGGTTTGTAAAAGCTTGTAGTTCAAATAAAGTTTACATAAGATTCAAAGAAGTCTCTTGGATCTTCTATCTAGCTTTGCATAAGTGCTCCATCAAAATAACCTAACTCATTTGAATCAGTTGATGCATGATATACAAATTAAAATCATATTACCTATAGTTATTAAGGTCATTAAATTAAATTTTTTGATTGAGCTTTAAAAATGTGGTCATCTTAACCTATTAATTAGTGAACAAAACACAAATAAAGAAGTAATGAAAGCTATAGAGATTGCCAAAGTATGGAAGGGCAGAATGTCTAATACTACTATTTTGATCCAAATTGAACTTTTGTCCATATTTCTCTTATAAAACAAACAATGGGTATGTTTCTCCAACTTTAACTATGATGAGGTTTATAAAGTCAATTTCCCTATATATTAGGGGGATGACATATATTTCTTAAAATTATTATATATTGATAGATTTAAAACCTAAATCTTTATATTTAGTTATGTAAAGTTCAAAATATTCCCCCAACTATTAGTAAATGCCTAATTTAGTCACATACCTTTATAAAGCCCCAATTTTGTCCACCGACTATTAGAAAGTATTTCAATTTTGTTCAAAGGCTAAAAGCGGTTAAAGTTAACCCTAACAGTTAAATGTGATGATTTTTTTGGATATTATGGTTTATGTGAGATTATATTATTATTGTTATTATTATATATTTTGTCTTGATTATATTAAAATAAATATAAAAATCATTTGGTTAATTTTCATTATAATTATTGTATACGTTTTAATATGATAAATAACAACAAAAAAAAAAATCTTACATGTACTATAATGCCAAAATGATCTCACATTTAACTATTAGGGTTTACTTATAACGCCCTCACCATATCCCAAAATGTCCTATTATCTCACATACACCATAATACTTAAATTGTCTTCACATTTAATTATTGAGACTTTAATTGTTAATTTTGGTCTGAAGATCAAATTAGGATATTTTCTAATAGTCAGTGGATTTAAGAGGTAGCATGAGGACGGCCTTGCCCCCTCTAAATTTCAAAAAAAAAAAAAAGTACCTCTAAAAAATTTTAGGATTTAGGATTATATTAACAAATTAAATATTCTTATATAAATAAAAAATCATATGCATGTAAATCCCCGTATTAGTATATGATCGGAAAACACAGAAATGAATATGCCATTCACTACGGGAAAACCCGTTATTACCGGCGGAAAAAATCCGCTGCTACTATAAGATATCCGTCGGAATCATGGGTCTCCGACGCACTTTCCGGCGGAATTCCATGCGCCAGTTATGCTCACGTTGATAAATGTTTTCCGACGCATATAATGCGCCGGAAACATTTTCGGCGCACTTTCCGACACATTACCGGCGCAAAAAATGATGGCAGCCGGCGACTTTTCGACTGATAATTCTGGCGACATCGGTGCCGGTAATTTGCGTCGTATGAGTCCGCCGGTACTTACCGGCGGAAAGAACGCCGTTAGTACGCCATAAATAACCTGCGGGAATGTTTACGACGCAAAATATGCGTCGGACAACGCCGGCGGATACGACGCCGGAAAATGCTTTTGACACATACAGACAGCTATAAGAAAATCTAAGGTTTGGATAGCTCTAAAATGCATAGGAAAGACAGAAAATTAAGTCACCTAAAAAAAAAACAAAGTTAACCTAAATAAGCAGCTCAGTTCTTGTCTTTTTGAAAACATGGAGTGCTAATGTAAGATTCAAATAGTCATAAAATACAAACAAGTAAAACATCTATTCAACTACTTCGAGGGTCAACTTGATCTTATCTGCTTCTCATCCAATTGAAACCCCAAACTTTTGCAAGATTGAAGGATCTCTTGATGCGATTCATGCTCCAGTAAACCGATGCAACACAGACTCAGTTTATATATTACATGACTAAACAGACCAAAACTTCACTCTAAGTAGATTTCATTTATTTTGTAAATTATATTATTTTTCATTTTTCATATGTAATTTGCATTTTCTGGTTTATTTTATGCTCGGATGGAACACGGCATGGCTCCAAACTATAAAAGGAGATCATGAACTAGGCTTTAAGACATTAAATAATTGAATGCAAATTTGATTCCTCCAAACCTATTAAATGTTTTATCCTATTCTTGTTCTTCTCATTCTCTCCCCTCCCTCTTCTTTTATTCTTCATTCTCTAATACTGCTAATCTTTTTTCCCATCTCTATTTTTTTGTTTCTTTTTTGCATCATCAATGGTATCAAAGTGAAACCAAGACCCATCCTTCCTACCACAATCTCCTTTTCGCACATGATCTCATCAGCCTCTGCTCCTAAACCCTAAACCCTAAACTAATTGATTTTTTGGTACTATCATAATATCTCTTTCAAAATCTATGCTCCATTACTATACCATAAATTCAATGTAAGTCTACAGCAAAAAAGATAAGCTAATCATTTATGTAATCCAACTGAAATAGGAAAAAAATTCGTCAAAAGAAACAAAAAAAAAACCTTCCGTTCCGTCGAGATCTCGAGCGTCGGCGAAGATGAACGCGACCACGAAAGCTATGATGCCTCGGTGAAATCCGGTGACCGTCGGCAAAGTCCGGTGACCGTCAGCGACGGAGGGCGACGAGCGAAACAGGCGAGGTGAGAGAACGGAAGGGAAGAAGTGACGGGCCAGAGGGGCTCGGTCTCGAAAAATAGGGCTTTCGACGGCGGAGTTTCCGGCGTCCTATCTGCCGGCGATATTTCCGGCGCATAATGCGCCAGTTTTATTTCGTTGAGTTTAAATACCCCGGCGCAATATCCGCCGGAAATTGCACCTGTGATTTCCGCCGTAACATGCGACGGAAATAGTGAAATGTTGATTTATGCCGACGCCGATACCGGTGCAACTGACGCCGAAAATGTTCCGGCGTAGTTTGCGCCGAAAAATCTGCCGTAGATTTTCCGTCGCAACAATGCGTCGTTACCTGCGCCATGATTACCGGCGTATAATTTTCCGCCGGAAAATCCGACGGTAATCGCGTGTTTTCCCGTAGTGATTCCTAAAGCTTCAAAAAGATTGATTGTTATATTTTTCGGATGCTGAGGATAACTCCTCTTTTCTTTCAGTTCATGCAATCAGGCAGATTCTCAGCTTTGACGTCAAGGCTTTATTTTTTGATATCGTCTAATTTTTTTTGCAACTAAAGCCTTTTTGTCCGAAATTACTCATAATTTTTTAATATGGCATAAATTTCAAATTAGAATTCACTCAGTTGAATGGATGGTTGAATCCGCCATCCAGTCACCCTATGTCTGCCATGTCTAATCCAAGTTTAATAACTATGTATTTCTTTTCGCTACTTGTAAACCATTTGTTTTTCTTTGAAATAAATTGGTGTTAAATTACGTTAGTTACAATGAGATTTTGATGTCTTAGCTGAACGAATGCCTAAGAAGGGACCTCCTAGAACTGAAGTCGAGTAGGAATGTCCTATTGAGTGAGTATTTGAGAAGGAAACTCATTGATCAAGAACTGCAAATAAGTTCCTTTAAGTTTTCAGTGTACGCTAAGAGGCTCTTTGGGATTTTTTTGATAAATCTTTTTAATTAATTTAATTTTTTGCTTCTAACACAAATCAAACTGTTTTTAAAAACACTCAGAAAGACTTTTGTGTTTTCAATATTTTTAAAACGTTGGCTGCTGCTGGCAGTCAATCACTATTATCATTGGTCATTATTGTTTTATGCAATATTCAATAAAAAGAAAAAGAAAAAAATGATAATAATATTTATTTGAATATCTAAAATGGTGGCCTTCCAATGACCCGGTTAGGAAAGTAGATGTATTAGATTTGACTTATGTTAAAAAAGATAGTGGTAGACCTAAAGAGACTTGGTTAGAAAATATTAGAAATGACATTCTTTATTAGATTTAAATGAGAAAAATAATTCATGTAGCCGGCCCCACATAGCGGGATAAAGGCTTGATGTTGTTGGTGTTGCTAAATCTAATTTATTTTTATTTTTTATTAAAATATAAATAAAAAAAAATAAAAATAAAAATATAAAAAATAAAAATATTTACTGAGAGTGATCCCTAACCCCCTGTAAAATGTTGATCTATGCTCCTTTTTCCTGTTTCCGTTCTGGTTTTGATTGCTCTGAATGTAGATGATAATCAAAAGCTCAATTGGCAGACTGATTAGGACATTATTTCTTACGCAGCAGATCCTACTGGTCTTCTGATTGATTCTGCAATGAAGCTTGTTCTCACAGTAATCCCTGAAATCTCAGTCCATGAAAGGCAAGAAGCCTTGATTAGGGCAAGCAAGTATGCCTTGATGAACGGAGTGACCACTATGGTTGATATGGGAAGGTACTTTCCTGGTGCATCTGTCGATGATTCTTGGCAAGATCTTTCAGGTTAGTATTTCCTTTACAACAAAATGTTCTGTCCCAGGGACCTTAATGAACGCACTTTCTGATCAACTGTAATACTGCAGAAGAGTATGCTAATGTTTATAACCTAAGAACATTATTCTCTTGTGAACAGATGTTTATAAATGGGCTGATTCTTCTGGGAAGATGTTGATAAGAGTTTGCTTGTTCTTTCCACTTCAGACATGGTCTCGCCTAAGGGTGTGTCAATCATGAAACATATTTATTAGCCCTTTTAACCAACCAGACAGCTGGTTAGTTAAGTTTAGAAGTGAATCTATTTTGAACGAGGGCACCATGCTTCAACATTTTAAAATTTGTTATTGATATGTTTCTATGGAACTAAGCAACATTCCTTTTTCAGAGGAAGTGTTGTGTAAAAAAAAATAGGTTAACACGATCTCAATATTTTAGAAATAGTTACAAACCGATTTTGACTACTAATTTCTAAATTTAGCTTATCAAACAGAAATATTGATGCATTTTTTAAAATATTAAAGCGCTCAACTATTGGATTAGAAATTTTCAGAATTAGCTCGGTGATATGTTGAACTCCATCTTTGGCAAAGTTTTTGTCATAACAAGTGCTTTAATTTGACATCTAATAATACTGATAATGCCTTGATCGAGTCCAAATAGATGTAAATCAAGCACCCAAAAGACAACTTTGTATTATCATTTAGGGATAAAAAACCTACGATTTTTGTGTGCTTGTAATTGAAATTAGATTTTTGACGAGACAAATCTGACGTATATTAGATCACTCAATTTTAAGTTAATTAAGGTGTTGCTATGTCCCCACCCACCCCCCGCGGCAATAAAAAAAAAGAAAAAAGTGATTAACTCCATTCATCAGATGAAGTGTCTTGATATCCAAAAGAAATGTCATGAATTCCCCATTTAGAAACCTATAGATAAGCTTTGATTTTGCATGTTTAAGGGTGATCTCAGGGGGACTTCGCTGGAAAATATTCTTAGGCTTGGAGAACTTTCGAGCTCTGATCATTGGTTGATTATTAACAATTGACACTAACCTCCCTGATTATTTGATATACCCTCATATAAGGAGAAGGATAAAATTGACAATCTAGTGTCATGACCTATGACATTCCTCGTCAACTTTTGTCATATACCAAAGATTGACGTCGTGTATGTGTCAGCCATTGACATTTGATGTTGACCTTTATGGGCGTCAATCTCACCTATTTAAGGAGAAAGACCAAGCAGGCATCGATTGTTGCCAACCATTGTTTGACGTATGTAAAAAAATTTACATATGAGGCCCGTTTTCCTAGTCAATAATCTTCCCTCATACAAGGAGCTTAGTTGAGCAGATCATACGCTGCCATCCTATATTTGATGTTCTCAATAAAGCATTGTCCGATGCTTGTTAATATTAAACATCTATCAATTACATATGTCAAATGTCTACTTTCTTAGATGTCAATCTCCACTCCTATAAGAAGAATGACTAAGCAAATGATCATTCGTTACTTATTCCCCTACATTATCAGCTGATCAACATTTGGCTCATGCCAATCTTTAATGTGTATTAGCCACTGCTATTTAATACTCTCATCTCATGATGCCTAACTCTTGATTCTTGACGTTTAATGCTTGACACTTGCCTACCTAGTCCCCAGTCTTTCCTCCTAAATGGAGAACTACCGAGTAGACCACTAACCAATGGCTAATTTCTGACATTCCTAATTGAGTATAATTTATTACCTACCAATATCTAATGCTTATCAATCGCTAGTATCACCACTTATAAGTAGGACGATTGAGTAGGTTACCATCCATTACTTATTTATTGTCATTCCAATTGATCATCATTTGATGCTTGCCAATATCTAATGTTAGACGCCACTGACATCTGATGCTTGCCTTTTCGATCATCAGTCCTCCTTTTATAAGGAGAATGATTGAGTAGACCATCAAGCCTCAATCTATGGCCTAAATTCTTAATCTATAGATCCGTTAATGTTTGATGTTTGCTAGCCACTGACATCAAATAACTTACTTATTGATCATTGGTCCAAACCCTCCTTAATAATCATTGTTCTCCCATTGTATAAGAAAATGATTGAACAGACCAACAATAGTCACCTGATGTCCTACATTCTTTCTTGACCATTCTCTGACACTTGTCAATGTTTAACATTTGTCAGTCATTGATGATTAACAAATGCCTTCCTCGTCGACTATCTTCTCTCCTATAAGAACAACTGAGCAGGCCGTCGATCATCGCTCGACATCTAGAGTTCCCAGTTGATCATCATATAACATTTATTATCCATTGACATCCTCGGACATTTTCCAATTCTTTGGTTGTCAGTCTTCACTCTCGTAAGAAGAACATCATGGCAAACTATTGAACATTGTCTAATGTCTGAAACTACCTAGTTGACCGTTGCTTGTCAATGATGGACACTTGCAATTTGTAAACTACCTACATAAGAAACCTATCTTTTTAATAACGCAATCTCCCCTGTTGTAAGGAGTGTAATTGAGATGGTTGTTAACCATTACCTAATGACAGCTCAGGCCACAGTTTATGCCTATTACATTGTATTAATATCTTCTATAGTTAAGGAGAATTGCATCTTTTGTAATTATTGACACACACACTAGTAGAATAATTTCAATTGGATCAGTGATGTAGCACATTATATGGATCAAGGCATTCAAATTAAAAGCCTAATTATAAAAGTTATTTATTTTATATATTTTTTAAGTTATTTATTACTCTTCTTAAACACCTGCTTCAATCTCTTCAAATATTTTTCTCCACTTTCTAAACATCTTCCAAGGCCAATAGGTCTGCAACCAATACCTTTCATCTATCCCAGTCACATCCTTGAAGCTCTCAACCAAACTATCTAGTTTTGTTTCCTACACCTTGACATCTCCTTAAGCTCTACCCAATTCTATCATTAACTCTAGATCATAAGTTCACATCCTAAAATAATTCTTTATTCTCATTTTAAGCCATTTATCCCATATTAAACCCATTATCTAAATGATCTTTCAAATAAGCTCTAATTAGCCTAAATTGGACTAATCTTGGCATTCTCACTAGTTATCCTTTTAAAATTCTCATATTATCTTTTATAGCTATTAATCTCACCAAATGTCTCTCAACGGCCATCATATTTCGTATTTGAGTGAATCTCAAAAGGATAAAATATGTGTATAAATTTTTAACAACTAAAGAGAATTTTCTTGTTGTAGACTTGTCTCCAAAATTTTGTAGTTACTCTAGTAAATTTGAGGTTTCTAAATCCATTTTATTTTAGATTTATTTAATATTAATAGTTTGTATATAGTATATTTCCTACAAGTATATGGTATAATCATAAATTCAATTATTAAGCTACATCATAACACCTAGCCAATATCCCTATATGAACCTATCCATAAATTTTCATCTAGTTTGAGAATTTTGGTAGGGGCGTGTTTCATTACATGCAAACTAAAATTTTACCTTGATGCACATAAAGTTTTGCACAACCTTCCTTATTTTTTATTTTAGTTATTTTTGGTAAAATTAATTGTTTATTTATCAAAACATTAAATAATTTACAATCTTAAGGATTTGAGACTTGTAGATTTGGGCATTTTTTTCTTGCATTTTAAATTGTTTGCATAAGCGTATATGTATGCAAAAGTTAGAGTGATAAAAGCTGAAAAGAATTTGTCAAAAAAGTCTAAAATATTTAATAAGTGCTTGAAATGTAAAAGGCTTTTGTATCCCCTTCTCACTTGAAAGTTCTTTTAGCTTGGAACTCACTTTATTTTCTTATCTATATTTTAACCTTCACTCTTTCTCATCTATATCCCTTTCTCTCTTTATCTCTCTCATTAGTTTTTCTTTTCAAATCATATCATAGCACCCAATTAAATTTTCAATATCAAATTAAAAACATGACTAATTATTCATTCTTTAGGCCTTAAGATGAATGAAAATAGCACTAAGACTAAAGAAATATTTAAGGAGACTAGAATACAGATGCAAAAACTTAAAGATCCATTATAAGCTATCTTGAATCATCTATAATAATAGAAATACTATCACACATGCCTCCCAAAATTTCAATGCACTCTTAGAACATGATTCTTCTTATATATGCCAAGGAGAAAACCTACTTCATAGGAGATAACACAACCCTAAGAATGGTGGTAGAGAAAACCACCCTCATAGGCATGCTAATGATTTTAGTGATCTCTCCTAGAGAGTTAAAGTTGAAGCTGCCACATATAATGACACCCATGAACCTAATAGGTTCTTAGATTAGTTAGTCCAAATGGATGACTTATTTGATTGGTATACGATGGACGACTAATAATTATTTTATTTTATTAAAATGAAATTAATTAGACATACATATATTCATTGGACAAATATCTTAGCCAAAAAATAGATACAAAAAAAAAACACCCTCACCTAGATAGAAATGTTAAAAGCTAAATATTATTCTAGACATTATGACAAGAAATTATATAAATAATTATTGATCTTAAGGTATGGTAGTCTCTCAATTATTAAATATAACTTGTGATGACAAATAATTATATCATTTTTATGTGCACGGGTATGTTACATCCCTAATTAGTACCATAATGGTGTAAACTCCTATATTTATATGCATGTACATTTTTTTCTTTTTACTCTTTTATTTAGATTTTACGATTCATTTTGTTCGTTTTGTTACATATACATATTAATTTATATAAGTACTTTTAACACACACAATATATATATATATCACGTTGTAAATTTTAATTGCTTATTTTTTCTCAATTTGGTTCATAATAGACACTTAAAAGTTATAAAGTACACATGCATGATATAATATTCAATAATTGCAATGAAATAATAGAAAACTGTCATTACTATAAAATAAACATAATCACCCACTTTACTATCTTTCGTGTGATAGCACTTTTTCAAATTTCAGATCTTCTTTAATGCAATACCTTTGAATAGTTATCTTAAAACAATATTTTCATTAAATTTAAATAAATTTTTCATTAATGTATATGTATCTCTTACGTAATCTTTTCCTAAAGCTCTTGTCATCTTCAATACTTTGCCTCAGACCAAAGATTTGAAACCTTCACTATTTCAAATAATATTTATTTGCATTAATTATTGTTAAACCACTTTCTAAAAAAAATCGAATGCCATCAAAATAATGTTGAATTAATTAGATTTTATTAAAAACAACTTCAAATGCATCAGATAACATTTATATAACATTAAATGTTTCTAATTTGTCATATCATAATTACCATTACAACATCTACGGTTAAATTCTAAAATAATTGAAAGTTAAATATTTTTAAGTTAAAATTAATTACGTCAGTTAAAGTTTCCTACCTTGTCGAATTGAGACTCGCCAATTTCATTTTTTTTTTCGTATTGATCAACTAGATACTACTATTTCAATCAAAGCAAAAAATTATGCATTTATTTGTTGTCTAAAATTAAATAGAAAAGATTAAAATTTAAACGACTTACTCCTTCCCTTCTATTAGAAATGAAAGCTCACTTCTTCCCATCGTGCCCAGATCTTTTGATAGTTTCAGTAGAAGATAAATTCTCCTCCTTCCAAAATTTTCTCTTGCACATAAATCTCTCTCTCTCTCTCTCTCTCTCTCTCTCTCTCTCTCTCACCCAATTTCCTTTTCTTCCTCTCGATCACTGCCTTCTTTCGTTTGTGGATTTCATAGGAGGGAGTGAAATTAACTTATCTCACAAGAGGAGTTGCGTATTTTCATTTACAATTGGACTGCTTCGCTCAGTTCGCTCTCTTATTAGCTCAATTGCTCGTTTTGACCCTTGCCCGCCTGCCAGCCCGCTCGCCCGCCCACCCTCCCGCTTTAGTTAGAGGACTGGTTCGATTAAACTTGTCCAGCGGGTTCTAACAAATTAGCATGTAACACCTCACAGTATCACTATAACAGTACTGTAGAGTGTAACAAGAATAACCATAACATTTCCATCATTTACCTCTCATTTCTGTTCATTTCATTTAATATATCTTTTTTATATGGATGCTGAATTTTGCAGGATCTTTTCGAAGATAAAGGTAGATCCTTAAGTCAGTGGATTTACTTAGGCGGTGTCAAAGCATTTGCTGATGGGTCTTTGGGATCGAATAGTGCACTCTTCCATGAGGTAATAAAAATGGTGCATATCAAGTGTTTACAAAACTGAGTTTATTCAAGCATCAAGTTAAAATACTTTGCTTATTCTAACTGGTATTTAGTTTTGTGTATTCATGTACTCGTTGGGATGTAGACATGTGCAACTTCATACATGGAAGTTAAGTAAATCTATAGATGAAAAACATGCGCGCACTTCTTATAAGAATTGCTCCCGAAATGAATTGCTGCATTGTCATTACAACACAGTTTCATTTTTGGATATAATATATATTTAGAATTTTGGTAAATGATTTTAATTAAGTCATTATTAACTATAGTCAACTTTGGATTCTTTCACAAAGCATTATATAAAATTTTAAAAAACACACCTCATCAATATACATGGACTTCATGACTGTTTGGCCTTTTTCATCGATTCTCCTATGCTGAATTTTAATTTAAGAAATTTGGTCAGTAAAGATGTTTTAATAGAACCTTTTTTTACCACAAAGCGCATAAGAGTTTGTTGTTTTACTGTCAGTTCTGCGTATCAGATGATATTTGGAAAGTTTATTTTCTCTATTTTTCTTATAAGCAGATTTTTTTTATATGTACAGCCCTATGAGGACGATCCTCATAATTATGGATTGCAAGTGTCAGATTTTGATTGGCTATTTAATGCCACAGTGGCTTCAGACAAAACTGGACTTCAGGTAATATTTGCTCCCTAAAAGTCTAATGTTGTGATAAAGAAGGCCTTGACATGTAAGTTGAGTGTACTTGAAATGAGAATGTTTAGATGAATGTGTGGTAAATAATTTAAAAATATTGAGAAATAATTATATTATAAAACTAGTAAGGGTAGTATCTCTTGTAGATGAAGACATGATGTAGACAAAGGGGGGGTCAACACTAGTCTAAAATAAATCAAATTTTGGCTTCCCTTGAGTCTACTAGCTCAATCCATTTGAGTTGAAATTTTAGCTCATTTATGAGCTGATCTTTAGTTCATTTATTGAACTAAGGGTTAGCTCATTATTAGCTATAATTATTTGAAAATTATATTTAATAAAATTTAATTAAAATATTGTCAAATTCTCTTACATTTAATACTATTAACACAAACATTGGATATTTGGACCAAAAATATCCCGTTGTAAAGAGTTGAAGGACCAAATTGGTTTCTTAAAAGAGTTGAAGATCATTTTAGTCTCTTACAAAGAGTTGAGGGATCATTTTGGTCATTTTCTCAGATAAAATAGTATAAAATAAACTCAACAAGTTTCAACATTTACAATTGCAGGTAGAAGATGCATCAATAAGAGGTTAAATATAGATGCGATAATAAGGAAAAGAAAAGCTTTGTCCGTTACTTTTCTAGTAATTGTGAGAAAAATATATATACAAAATAGAATGAATACCTCAACAATAACAACAAGCTTTTATCACACTACGTGGTGTCAATTATATAAATCATTTTTCTTAATTGTGTCATGTTAAGAGTCAAATTCTCATTTAAATCTAATAAAAAAAGATCACTTTTAATACATTCTAACCAAATCTTTTTACGTCTATTTTTATCTTTGTTAACGGTTCTAATGCATCTACTCCTAGGGTTGTTGGAAGGTTGATGTTTTATGTAACCAAAACATCTAAGGTGGCTCTCTCTAATCATATTTTCCACCATAGCTATTTCAACCTTTTCATGTTTATACTCATTTGTATTTTGTCTCTAGGTGTAAAGCTATTCATCCACCTAAGCATCCTCATCTTTGCAACACTTAACTTAATTTTATGCTTCTCTTTTTAATAACCAATATTCTGTGTCATAAAGTATTGTAGTCTTACCATCATCTTATAAAAAATTTCCTTATATTTTAGGTGTACTTTTTTATCATACAATAGGCCCAATGCTTTTCTCCACTTCATCCATCTAACTTGAATTCTACTAATAGCACCCTCATCTATTTCACCATCGCTTTGAACAATAGTTTTGTGATTATCTAAAACGTGCACTCTTTTAATGACTTGATAACCAAATTTCACAATCCCACCATTAGATCTATTACTATTAAAATTACACTCAATATACTCAGTTTTAAATATACTCAAACAAAACCTTTAGACTCCAAGGTTACAACAACAATAAAAACAACATCAAGCCTTTATCCCAGTATGTGGGGCCGGCTATATGAATTCTTTTTCTCCATTGTGTCTTGTTAAGGGTCAAATTCTCATTTAAATTTAATAAAGAAATGTCATTTCTAATATTTTCAAACAAAGTTTTTTTAGGTCTACCTATACCTTTCTTAATATAAGCCAAATCTAATACATCTACTCTCCTAATCGGGTCATTAGAAGGCCTCCGTTTTATGTGACCAAACCATCTATGGTGACTCTCTCTAATCTAATCTTCCGCTGGAGCTACTCCAACCTTTTCACGTATATGCTCGTGCCTTATTCTATCTCTAAGAGTGAAGCACTCATCCACTTGAGCATCCTCATTTAAGCAACACTTAACTTAATATTATGCTTCTATTTTTAATGGCCAACATTCTGCACCATAAAGCATTGCAAGTCTCGCCACCATCTTATAGAATTGTTCCTTAATGACATGAATGTAAGCATTATTAATTTCTTACTTTTTTAACACTCTCTAGAGCACTTTTCTTTAAACTTTATCATATGCTTTCTCTAAATCAATAAATATCATATGTAAACCCTCTTTACTCTCTCTATACTTCTCCATCAAACATCTCATCAAATAAATTCCTAATGATTCCAAAAGTTGGGATGAGGCTAATGGTGATGATAACGATGAATAGTTTTGTGCTTCTATTATAAAATATCTAGATACTACTTTATTTCCTTTCATTTTTCAGGTTGCAGTGCATGCAATCGGAGACAAAGCAAATGACATGGTCTTGGATTTATTTAACTCAGTGAAATCGATTAATGAAGGAAGAGATCATAGATTCAGGGTATGTTTTGACCCTTGTTTTTTATTTTCCTGAAAATCCTAGCATATTCATGCTTTCTTAAACTTTTTTTCTTATGAGAATGCTAATGCCAGAAAGAAACATCGTAATTGAATTTCCAAATTTTAGATTGAACATGCCCAGCATCTAGTGCCAGAAGCAATAAGCCGTTTTGGTGTTCAAAGTGTTATTGCCTCTGTACAGGTAAACGAATTAAAGCATGCATACTATTGGTTTTATATCCCTAAATTCTTGGATTTTTAGATGCTAAGATTCATGCTGCAAACCATATTGGATGCCTCATGCCAGTTAGATCATCTACAAGTATTTACATAACATAATAACAGCGAGACAAAAATATAGGGAACAAGTAAAACAGGACAAAAAAAGACAACACCAGGTTAATTTGGTTTGATAAAAATTATCTATATCCTTGGGGCAAGTATCATGCCCTTGCCCGGAAGTTCATGTTAATAAGTTGAGAACAGGCGGTCGAATGATTTTTATAGTTCTTTTAATAAAAATAAATACTCATTCAAAATTTAACTGAAGAGGCACTAAAATTTTTTGATATGAATATATAACAAACTAGTTCTTACCTATTTTCATTTGATCTTCTTCTTTTGTAAAAAAACTCTTCTCTTTTAGCCATTTAATCCACCAGAGATTTACGTAACATTTCAATTTAAATATTTGAGTTTTTCATAATAAACTCAATAGACAATTATTTTTTAGTATTATAATTAAACATGCATATATGTTGTAACACCCCATAGTATCCCTTAACAATAAGGTAGAGTGTAACAAGAATAAACATAACATTTCCATTTTCTTTACCACTCATTTCTGTTCATCATTCCAGATTTATATAAAAGATCATATAAACCTCAATTAGTACAACAAAGAAAGCATCTAAAAATTTCCAAATTTCATCAAAGACTTAGTACATAACCACTATTGAATTCCAAACCATTTCAAAGTAATACAACCTTTAAACTGCAAACTAACCTCAAGAGTAGATCTCAAACATAGAATAAGCATTAACATAAATGTAAATACTTGCAAACTAGTCTTCTCCCACTTTTTGTTTTCCTTTACCTGTAATAACAGCCAGCAATAAACTACTGGTGAGCTATAAGGCCCCATAAGTTATGCAACTAGAAATATAATTTAAAATTTGCATGAGAATTTAAATAAGAAATGATTTGGCATTAACCTTTATTTCTTAAATCTATATTGAATATCTATTTTAGTCATTAAAAATTTTGGCTAATCATTCATATCCTATTCAATGGAGCCCAGGTAAACCTGACATTATCGTCATTGAATCACATAGAGGTCCCTTTGTCTCTTTGGGGTCCCTTTTGCCTAACCTGCTAAATACAGTTTTCATTTCTTTGGGGTCCCTTTTGCCCCACTTACCAAACAGTTTAATATATGGAAACCCTTTTGTCCCATCTGCATTGGTAAGTCATACATAGATCTTTAGCCAAATTTTACTTTTAAATGGATATTCAGTACTCATTACTTATTCATACTTCATACTGAACTGGTTATGACCAAGTTATATAAGAATGTGTCTCTTATCATTTGCATGCAATAATGTGTAGGTAACATTACATTAATGGGCTCTTTTCAATTTATAAACAACTAGAAAACATTTCAAGAACCAACATAAATCTTATGTTACATTTCAATGATTCATTAAATCATGGAATCTAATCACTTGCATTTTTATATCTTCATATTGCATTCATCAACTCAATTAAATCAAAAAATATCATAAATTTATCTAGGAATATTAACTCTTGCATTTATAAGTTAAGATTTACATAACTTACCTTCTTGACGAGTTGACTTTTCCAATCCTTCACTTATTCTTCTTCTACTATAAGTCACCTCAAGACCTCCTCTTTGCATATGACTAGATAAATCTTTAACACCATAATTTACTATTTCTGTAAGAACTTTAATGAATTGTAGTATAAAAGATGAGGGAATATTAGAATTCATACCTTTCTTTCAAATCTTCTATTCTTCTTCTTCTTCTAAATTTTACTCTCTTAAGCTTCCTTTACTATGTCCTCAATTTATTCGCCTTTGAATCAACTACAGGTTATCACAAACTTCCATATTAATTCCATTTAAATCTTGATTAAATTTGTACTAATCTCTATTTAATACTATGGTAATACTACGGTAATACCTGCATAAATTTCTTACTGAACTGTGCCAAAATTCCTCACCAAAATGCTGAACTTCTCCACCAGAAAACCTGCTGCTGCTACCCAAAACTTCTGCCTTTTGCTACAGGAATTCCTCCCGAATTCCTTCACAGTTCTGCGGCTCTTGCTACAGTCCCGGGAGAAACTATGTTGAGCCCTTCTATCATCGCCTGTAAGCTTCGCTTGTCCGAATAAATGAACAGGAATTTCAGGATTCCTGGCAAAAGCAAATCTCATGAAAGTTCTCTACACTGA